AACTTTTACATCATTCAAAATCAATACCAAAAAGTACCTAATTTCATCTTCATAGTTTTTCACTTTTTGCCTTAAAATTGCACTGTATCAATTGCTACCCAATCTCCCAACCTTTATGTTCCCAATTTGAACATCTTTACCATTGTGATCATTGCTGTTTTCTTATATGTGCTGCCAATCTGTTGTATGGTGTTTATAAATCTTGTTTATCTGTATCTTTTGCTACCCAGTCTCCCAATCTTTATGTACCCAATCTGAACATCTTTACCATTGTGATCATTGCTGTCTTATATGTGCTGTCAATCTGCTGTTTGGTGTCTATTAACCTTGTTTAAATTACTAATCAAGCTGTCAATGTAATTAATCAGAGCTTTAATATAACAATGTGCTTTAATATACCTACTTATCTCTCTCATCTCATTTTTCTCTTGTAATGTATCTTTATCATTTATCAATTCTGATTGAAATTACCTACTTAAAATTATCTGCTAGATTAAGGACCTGCCCGAAACGCTGTGCGTACTAGTGGCTTTACAAGAATGTAAATACTGTACTATCAAATGTATTCTTACAAACCCAATGTACCTTCTTGTATATATATAAATAAATAAAATAAATAAATAAATAAATTTGGCTTAAGGCATTTTACTTTGCTTCTTGTCGAAGCAAGGCTTGTTCTTTAATCAGCTTCTTGGGTGGAAAAGGGGGGACAATAATTTGGAAAGGAGTGATCTCCCATGGGGAAGGAAAGTGTTGTTCTTGTCTCTCTTGGTAAGGGTGATGAAAGTTATACATTCTGAGCACATTGGCAGTTACGGCAATCCATTTAGAGGGATGCTGATCTTCAAGGAAGAAGGCTTTGAGGGCTTCTGTGCAGGGGTTAGGGGTGGGTTAGCCTAAGCATCTTGATACCAATTAAAGCATTAATTTCAGTGATACGATCACTTACACATGAAATATTCAGTTCCTTCCTCATGTTTAGTAATTCAGTTGTACGGGGGCATCCGAGGATTATCCTCATGGCTTCGTTTTGCATCTTTTCCAGCCCTCCAAGCATTCTCTCAGTCACTAGGGCAAGCATGGGTGCAACATAATCAATCAGAGATCTAATATATGAGAGATATATCATTTTGACAATTCTCACATTTGCACCATAGCTTAGATGGTAGCCTGCCACAGCCTTGAGAGCACGGAGCCTCTCTCTACATTGGCGACCCAGTCTGGCTACAACGTTGCGGTACAGTGGAACTTCACGACCAAGGTATTTGTATCTGGTTACATAGTCGAGCAGAGAGCCATCATGCAACTGCATTTTGCGAACGGCCCCACCTCGTCTGGGTGGACGTCGGTTCAGGATATTTGTTTTCTCTACTGAGATGACCAAGCCTAGTTCCTGACATGTGTGCAATACAGAGTTCAGAACATTTTGGGTGTTGGTATACCCATCATCACCCAGCAAAAACCTACTATCAGAATAATAACAAACTCTGCTTTCAGACAACACTCAGCTCCCCTGTTTAAATCCCTTAACTTGCTAAATATTAACTCCACATATTCTCTTGTGTCAACTACATTTACAAAACCCTGTTCTTATATGCAAACCATGCTCTGAAACTCTCCCTGGACAGATGTAATAGGACCCTTTATCACCACACCTGAAATAAATATATCTTTGATATCCCCAGGGTCAAACTTAATCTGTGTAAACAGTCTATGCAAATTAAGGGACCTAGTCTACGGAACTCACTCCCTAGTGAATTGAAAAGCTGTCAAACTTTTGCCTCTTTAAAAACAAAACCAAAAAGTACCTAATTTCATCTTCGTAGTTTCAACAAAGAGCATTCAGAGAAGACCTTGTGGATTCTCACTGAACACTTTAATCTTTTCTTCTCCTACCACCCCCATTATTTTTTTGTGTGTTTTTTTTTATTGCAATGCTACAGTTTACAGAGAACACACACATATAAATAACATATAAATAAATTTTGTTTTTGTTGTTTGTAAATATATAAATGCTATAAACTCGCACTGTATCTAGTGCTATCCAATCCCCAACATATGTACCTAAGCCATACAACCTCACCCTTGTAATCATTGCTATCACCTTATATCATTATTGTTATATTAGTTTAGTTTAGTTCATTTATTATGCACCCCATACCCATCTTGTGGGCGGTAGTGGAAAGAGTTACAGAGGCACATAATGGGCTCAGGGACTGAACCCCACAATTCATTTAGCTAAGCAAGTTACAATCTTGATGAGCTAGTTACAAAATTCAATATAAGTTGTCACATCAACAATGGGTTCGAGATCGACCTCAAGTACAGGTTCTAAATTAAGCAACTGACATATGTGGAGAGCTAGTGTCAAAATTTATATGTTTGTCCTGCACACCGCCCCTCATCTAGTGGGCAGCGGTGGATAGGTTACAATCACTTAGTTACTACCTACAGTTAGCAAACTGGGGATATTTGGCTAAAATTTCTGGTAGCAGATCATTTTGAATGAAATATTGACACATCGCTGGAACATTGGTTATAGAATTGTCTCTAAATTCATGTATCTTTTCGCACTCCATCACATAGTGACGGAGGGTGTGCGAATAATTTTGTTGGCACAGTTTACATTTGGTCAGATCTACATCAGCAGATAATGAGAATTCCCAGAGATACTTGTAACCGAGTCTAAGCCAAGCAGTAGTAACATCTAGAAGTCTGCTGATTTGATTGGATGATCCATAGATGTGTGGCTCCTCTTGCATGATAGTATGATGATAGATGGAATTACTGGTGTCAATTTCACTTTGCCTCAGATCTACAAGATCGTGTTGAAGTTCTCGGTGTGCTGCTGCTCTCAGATTGCTCATTGACAATCCAAGGTTACACTCAACGGCTCCTTTAAGGCAGATTCTTTGGCTAATTTATCAGCTCTATCATGCATTCGGAGGCCAACATGAGATGGAGACCACATGAAATGGACTCTGTTACCATCCTTAATAATTTTGTTGTATTTGTGTCTAGCTTCGGACACGAGCACGTTACAGTTATGTCTTAAAGAGTTGAGAGCATTTAAGGATGATAAGGAGTCACTTACAATTAATGTATCAAGTTTGGAGACTTGTACACATTTCAGTGCAAGGATCAAGGCAAATAATTCGGTCTGAAGGGTAGAGGCCCAATTGTTTATACGGACTCCCCACTCAAAGTTCAAGCCATCGCCCATTGTCAGGACAACTGCACTTCCAGCTGCACCCGTGGTACGGTGTAGGGAACCATCAGTGTATATGATTTGAGAGAGAGAATGCTCTGTGGACAGAGCATCAATATGGCTTAAGGCAAGCTTTGCCTCAAGACGAAGCTTGGGCTGATCTCTAATTTGCATCTTGGGTGGAAAGGGAGGGATTAAAACTGGAAAGGGTGTAACCTCCCACGGTGCAGGAAAGTGCCGTTGTTGTTTCTCTTTGTACAAATCATGAACCTGATACATTCTGAGTTGAGTTCCAGTTTTTGTTATCCATTTGGAACAATGCTGATCTTCAATAAAGAAATTCTGGATTATATTAAAAGCATATTTTCTGCATTATAATCCTCAAATTATGCTGCAATGCACCTGTTGATAACCCTCAAATTTTACTTTGATGTACCTACTGAACTTTGTTGAATTTTCTTACAATGTACCTGTTAAACATTTTTTCAGTTTTACTAGAAATTGCCTACTTAAAATTATCTGTTAGACTACTATTTATAAGGACCTGCCCGAAAGTTATGCATGTTAGTGGCCTTACAAGAATGTTAAAAACATCAATGCTATGTACGCTCATAAACCCAATGAACCTTCTTGTTTATAAATAAATAAATAAATAAATAATAAATAAATAAATAAACAAATAACGTAGGTTCCAAAATCCGCGGGCGAATCGCCTTGCTTACGATATTATTTGTATCCCATCCACCAGGAGAGATCTGATTCCTTCAAAAAGTATATAATCGTATGGTATTATGTATAAAGAAAGAATTTCAAATATATTCGTTAATTGGAAAAGATGATGAAAATATAGATGGTAACTGTAGAAAAGCAGTTATAAACAAAACATAAGAAATATGAAAAATAAGATAAGGAACCAGAAAAAAAACATTGGAACGCTTGTACAAGCGTTGGGCACCATTTTGTGAGGAGCAGCAGTTCTTGCCATCTGTTACGTCGTGTCCATTGATGTGCCGCATCTTTCTACATTACCACTCGTGCAGTCATCGGGAGGAAAACCTTTATGCAAACTGCACGTATTGCCAAGAAAGAAGAAGAGTTCTTGCATTCGTGTACAGCCACTAGCACGCATAGCGTTTCGGGCAAGTCCTTAATCCTATATTCCCGGGAATACGACCCGCCAAATCGTTTAACAATCAGATACCCATTTTATTGTTTGGTAAACGGAGGCTACAGGAAAGGATTGACGCCCAGTAAATCCTCCCCAGCCAGAATAAGAACCCAGGACACACCCCACGCGAAAAGCCAGACGAGTGTGTAACCACTTCACCACAGCAACTGCAAAAAAGGAGCATAAACCTTTACATAAACTGCACCTATCATAAAGAAGATGAAGACTTACCAGTGTACACAGTGTGAGAAGGTATTCACTCATCGTGGAAATATGAGGAAGCACTTGTTAGTGCATTCAGGTGAGAAACCACATGAGTGTCTCGAGTGTGGGAAGAAATTCAGTCGTCTTGAAAATGTGAAGAAGCACATGTTAGTGCATTCAGGTCATAAACCTCATGAGTGTCCAGAGTGTGGGAAGAGATTCAGTCTTCTTGAAAATGTGAAGAAGCACATGTTAGTGCATTCAGGTCACAAACCCCATGAGTGTCCAGAGTGTGGGAAGAGATTCAGTCAGCGTGTAATGATGAAGACTCACATGTTAGTGCATTCAGGTCACAAACCCCATGAGTGTCCAGAGTGTGGGAAAAGATTCACTCAGCTTGGAAGTAGAGAGAGACACAGGATGTTGCATACAGATAAAAGATCTTTTGAATGTGCTGAGTGTGGCAAACAATTTAAAGAACGTAGAAGTATAATACGTCACATGTTGGTGCATTCAGGTGTAAAACCTCACGAGTGTCCAGAGTGTGAGAAGAGATTCAGTCAGCTTGAATCTCTGAAGAAACACAGGCTGGTGCATACGGGAGAAAAACCTTTTGAATGTGCTGAGTGTGGCAAAAAATTTAGAGACCGTGGAACTATTATCCATCACATGTTAGCGCATTCAGGTGTCAAACCTCATGAGTGTCCAGACTGTGGAAAGAGATTCGGTTATCTTAGAAATATGAAGAAGCACAAGATGATACATTCATTTAATCACCCTAAGGCCGGCCACACATGTGCAGTTTTAACTGACAGTTATGACTGTTCAGTTATAACTGTCACAGTTCAAACTGACGTCAGTTAAAAATGAAATGCACACACACACACACAGTTCAATCCCTCAGTTTTACCATGGATTCCGAGGAGTACGATCTTGCCGCTCTTGGTGTATTCTTTGTAATGCTACAAGCAAATAGAAAAAAGAAAACTAAGAAGCGTAAGCAGTGGTGCAAAAAGTGGTTACTAAGGCGAAATCAATGTTCTGATATTAAATTGTTAAAGGAATTAAGTGAAGAACCAATTGATTTTCTCAATTATTTGCGCATGACTGAAGTTCCTCCAACTTCTTTACTAATTTGCTATAGGCAACATCTTTCTTTGTTCGGTCATGATACTCTTAACTTTTAACTTGCCACAGGCAAGGTTCAGATCGATAGTTCAATGAATTCAACAATCACTTGGTTTTGTTTACGTGCCAACTCAAACTGCACTCACCGCTACCACCGGTAGAAATGAGAAGTTGAGAACTGTACAGTTACGAATCCCCACACACGCTCAGTTCAATTACTCCTTTCAGTTAAAAATATGGAACATTGCATTTGTCGCAGTTTAACTGTACAGTTCTGTTGAACTGACGAAAGGAGCAACTGAGATACCCAGACATGTGCAGTTTTAACTGACAGTTTTAACTGAACAGTTATAACTGTCAGTTAAAACTGCACGTGTGTGGCCGGCCTAACACTTTTGAGTGTGGGAGATGATTAAGAGAATGTTGAAGTGTAATGATACGCACATATTAGTACATTAACTTAACTTTAAGGTAATATACGGTTTGGAAATTTAGCTTCATCATGAAATACTGCGCTATCACCATGTCAGTTGGATGTCCTTCAGAGGTAATTGCGTAAATTTTGTTTTAAGAAATATGAATCACCATAACTGGTAAAGATCTAAAGGTATTTTATTATTTTGTTTAATGAAAGTGAGGTGCTCCTCATAGACCAAGCAAGAACTTAAGAAAAACTCAAAATTGCTCATAAATAAATATTTCTCTCATTTTCAAAGATAAAAACAGTTGTAAATATTTTTTCTTCATATTTATTTAAATAATAATGTGGTTTCTATTTTGGTTCTCTTTAGAAATTAATTTTAAAAGTAATGTATATTATCTCAACCTTTGTTTTGCACATTTTTGTTATTATTTAGCACTGGGTCTGGCAAAGAGTATAGTTTGAGATGTACTCAAGATGCAATCTTCTCTTGGTAGGAGAAATGTATATAAATCAAAATTAGCTCATCACATTCCTATGCAAACAGATATCCAATTTTTTTATTTTTGTTTAAGCCTATTTATGAATTTTACTTCTCTTGATTAGAAATATATATCACATAAGAGTTTATAGTAGACAGACTGGCATTGATAAGTTGGAAACCCTTGCCTAACTTTATCATTCATTCTATAATTGTCTACTAATTACATCAGCCTGCCCACTATATTAGCCTTACTGGCAGTTATATTAGCATGACTTAATTAATTATATTACTCACTGAGAATCACATTAGCATTTTCTGTCAATTATATAAAACAAAGAGATTTATTTCTGGTCTGGTGCTTATGGGTTCTGTTACATCTATCAAGTGTGAGGAATTCTGACTCATGGATTTTTATTATTTATTGTAATTAATAATTAATTGATTAATTAAATGAATTCTAATTTATAATGTATAATTTTATTTCTGTCTTACGATAGCTTAGAGGACTGTATTAATTAAGTGGACTGTTTGAATATAAATTCTCCCACAAGTCATATCCCTACACAAATTTGAGAGTTATTAATTGTAGCCTATCAATCAAGATTTATCGATTGACAGGAAAATTTATACTAATTAGTTGGTTAATCTACTGGAGTTAGTTGTAGTACTGAATCGCCTTATCTGATATGAAGGCTTCAGTTTGGGTACTAGTGTGGGACATGTGGGCAAACAGCAGATATGAACCTTGTGGCTATGGTGTTGCAACAGGTGAGGACGAATCGACAAGTAGATGTCGCCAATTTCCTCAGGTTGCCACAGAAGATCTGCCGGAATGTTACAATATAGCTACTGCAAATAACTTCCTAATCACTGATATGGCACATAAATTATTATTGGTTATTATCAGAGAGGCTTACCCTGTTTTGGGGGTTTGCCTGCCTCATCACCGGTTGTCTATTATAATATTAAAAGCTCTGTAATAATATTTTAATGTTTTACACAACCGGAAATGCGGTACAGTACTCCTGTTATTTTGAGGTAGCGGCAGCAGAAGAACATAAATTTAAATTTAAATTTTGCCCCAAGGGGCGAGTTTATTGGGCAGCGCCACTCATCTTGTGAGTGAACATACCGCCATAGCAGAATGTACAACACTCCCCAATAGGAAGAAAACCCGCTGGGTTGTTCAACCTGTCACTTGTACCCAGACACAGCTGGGACTTGCTTAACTGTCTCAAGTGAACAGCTCCTCAAACAAGAAGATTAACATTTATCAACCCTTAAAAGCTTACGTTATCTTGCGGGTGCAAAATGGGGAAATCATTTAAGAACAGTATCAATATTTGACAAATAGTGTTTTCCTAACTCAAACAATGTGGGGTTTATTATTCTACAGTTATTCCTAATGTCTCTCAGGTGTTCACATTCACGTAGATAGTGGTCAAGGCGGTGTCCATCACTCACCACAGATTCTGCAACTTCGCTGATCAACTGTTGTTTCCATTCCAAATCTCCATGGATATTTGTATCCAAGACGGATTCTCGCTATTACTGATTCTCTCCCTCGTCGTCCTCCTCTTCGGCCATACTGATTGGGATTGCCAGCTGCAACCATGTTGTACCATCGTACAGATTCACTGGTTTGTGCTTCTATCCTCCTTTCCTCAGTTACCTTGTCACGGTGATGTTGCCTGATAATACCTCTAATTTGTAGTTGAGTCTTGGGTATGAAGTATTCAATATGGTCTCCTTCAGCGCCTTCAGCAGCCAGCACATCTGCTCGTTCATTTCCACATATTCCAACATGGGAGGGGATCCACAGAAACTTGATGACTCTTCCCTGATTGGTAAGTACTCTCACAGCTCTCTTGATTTCAGCGACTATTGCAAGATTTTCTGCCTGATTTTTACTTAGGCTTTGCAGTGCTGCTTTTGAATCGGTGCAAATCACTGCACTATTAGTGTTCCGTTCAAGAAACCTTAACGCCATAACAATGGCAATTAATCCCTCACAAGAGATTTGCTCGTTATACAATGGCGTGCCCCTCCTCCCTGCTCGCTCTAGTGACGCCACTAGGAATAGTTAAATTTTCTGTTCATTTATGGACGAAGGTAGGGAGGTGTTATTATTTATTGATTATACTATTTAATTCAGTCACAGAGAACAATTTTTTATTGTTTATAATGCTGGACTAGAAGTTTTAAGTAATTGATTTATGTTGAATGTAGATATTTTAATGGCATGGCAATAATATCCCATGTTTAAGGGAAATTTCCACTGTAATCACGTTTTCTTTGAACACGTTATTAAATTAATTAGTGTTTGTATTGATTAATGGATTAGTACAAGAACAGCAGTGCAATTAGTTGCATACAGCATTGTATTAAAGAATAAGTATATGGGGTCGGTTTTTCCCGACAACAAGGAAAAGTATTCAGATCAGTATTATAATTTAAGGAATAATGTTTTGAATATGTAAAGAACACTGTGTGGAGTGGGTAATGTTTAGCATGTTTTGGGATTTAAACAGAGGGCTGTGTGTTTTCTAAAGACAGTTTGTTATAGTTTTGATAGAAGATTTTTGTTGGGTGATATTTGCTTGATGTAATTTGCAGTGGTTGACATGCACAGCTACACATATAATAGGAATAGATTAGGGAGTGGTATATTGACTGGAGAGCAGAATGGTAACATAATATCTGATTTTTAAGAGTATACCAACAGTTTTTTAAGACTGCCTCCCCTCCCTTTCCGGCCCATTGTCATCGTGAAGGGGCTTGGTGGGCGGCTACTGGAGTGTGATGCTCCATGGGTCAGTCCTCTGTCCTTTTGAAGCTTTATGCTCCTGCTGCCGTTTTCACCAATTTTCCCGGATGTTTTTCCTTTTCCTTATGTTTAATTCCCCCCCCCTCCCCCTCTTCTCTTTTCTAATTTTCATTTCCCGCAGACCTTTTTGCCAGTCTTGATTATTCTTTCGGACATCTGTTTTGACGCCCGGGTGTTTGCGGAGACACACACTCTCACCCGTAGAACTGTGGTACCCAACGTTGTGAGCAAGGGGGCGCTTTTATTGTCAATCCTCCTTTCGTTGCAGAACCCAATCTCAACGGACTGACTTTTCTCGAGGTGGCAATTGTGGGGCAGTATTCTCACGATGCGCCCCTGGAGGGGACCCCAGCCTGTCTCTTGTTGGGTGTCCTATTCTCTAATTGTGGCTCTATGGTGGGCTGTGGGGGTTCATTCGTGAGTGAGAGTATTACCTCTCATTTTTATGTCGCTGAATACTGTTCCTTTAATGACTTCTCAGGCTCGTGGGGTGGGCGACCAAGCCCACAAGTCGGACTGTGTTGGAAGACTGGGCTCTGTAGTCCCTGCTACATTGGGCCCAGACCTAGCTCCTCCTTTGGCCCTCCTCTGTGGTAGGGTCGAGCCTCAAGCCCCCAGTGGTAACTACCTCGTCCCCTGGCACGGATCAGTCTCTCATTGTGACTACTGTGCCCTTTAACCCCCTTCTCTCTGGGGGTTCTCAACACTGTCCCCGCCACGGCTGCACTCACTCGAACCCTTCCCAAACTAATACGTACCATGCCTTATTTGGTCCTGCTTCGTGGGCTAAATACTTTGATCTCCACTATCTGTATTCTACACCTGATAAACACCTTGCTCGATAAACACCTTTTTGATTCGGTAGATGCCTCTTGTTACTTTTAACCCCACCTGCTTCGGTACACGTGTCGTCGCTGCTCATTCTCAGGATGCAGCTACCAACTTAGCCGCATTGTCCTGCATTGGGGAGACCCCTGTTCAGGTCTCTTAAAAACGTTCGGTTA